CTTCCATTCTGAACACTGCTCCTGAAACCAGTGAGTGACTGAAAGCACTCTATGCTGACAAATCTTGTACTATATCTTAGCAATATAAAAATCACATATGACCACAATAATGTCGATTTAAGACCATATGGTCTTAAATCCTACACATGCTCATACAAGTATATACAGCTACAATTGTTTGTAATGCAACCAATCTCAGGCTAGCAAGTTAATAAGCAGGTTCCTCTAGGAGAGACACCTTGGGCCAAATGAGTGTGGTTCAGAATGGCCATCGTTGGCAGACAGCAGGGCTGAGAACAAAATGGCCTGTACAGTCTGATTTTCTTAGTGCTCACTGTCATTCTGCTTCATTCATTCGATTCATTTTTCTAAGACATGGAAAACATTTATTTAGGCCACGAATGCCAGCTTCTTCACACAAGGTGTGACCACAGACATTTCTGGTGACAGTGGCCAAGTTAAAAGACCAAAAGCTACCAGAATCTCCAAGTGAAATCTCTCAATCTCCCACAGCTTAATACAGCCACCTGGTTTCTCTATGGAAATCTACCCCGAGAGGGCCCCGGAGAACAACCCTTTTATGTGCAGAGAGACTTTAACAGCCAAGTAATTAAACCCTGAGCGTAAGGGTTTATAATTAAAATGCTGACAAACCTGAACTAGAGTGGCATAAGGTGGGCTGCTATAATGTTTTTACAATTCCTTTTTATACATAATGTATAATCCTTCCGCTCAAGTTTCCTCTATGTTCTTTGCCTGTGAAATAATTTACATTAATAAATAATTTATTACCATAACTCCTAAAGTAATTATGGGTTTCCATGCGATTTTTTTTTTAGCATATGAATTGTTTTGTTCTCTGTCCATGGACTAGTATTTACAAGACTTTTCCTAGTGGCCTTTTTGAAATAATTGGTATGGCCCTTGCTTTCTTGCAGCTTTAAGTGATTTCCAGGTCTTCTCTCTGCCTGAACGGTGGGGAAAATGGAATGTGTGGTATCCATTGTCCCCATGACACAGAACTCATTAAATGACTGCAATTAACCGAGGATGGTGAATGAAGCCTGTTCTCACCCCACTTGCCCTGCTACAACAAGGAAGACCAAACTGGTACCCGAATGACCCTGCACCAGCACCTCCCAGAGTAAGTGGCAGAGCATCAGGGACTACTTCCATGTTAGGCTTTGCGTGTAGCCCCTTCCTGGCCCACGGGGAGTCACACCAGGAACAGGGGGTGGAGCCCTGCCTGGCTAGCTGACCAGAGGATGGGCTGTACCACAGAGCTGCCACCTGACCCTTGCTTCCTGTGACAAGAACACAATTCTCACTCATAGATGGCTCTTCCCCAGACAGCTGCTTGCTGCGGAAATTCTGCTTGAGCAGAGAAGGTGGGCTGGGGGTGACCTGGGAGATGAGAAAGGAAACTGAAAGGCAGGGGTGGCCTCCGATAGAAGGAGCAGCGACAAGGCCAGGCTGGAGCCCTAATGAGGGCCCTGGGCTGGGCTCTCCTCTGCCCACTTTCTCCCAGCCACATTTCACCCTCGCTTTGTTCTCTCCTCAAAATTGGAAAAGTACAAAAACACTTCATTGGATCAAGTTTCCAAACCAGGGTGTGGGGGTCAAGGATAGAAAAGGAGCCTGGGACCCCACTTCAATCAACTGCAAAGCATACTTTTTAAAAAATGTTGGGAGCCCTGGATTATATTGTAATGAGCCCATTTTATCTAAGTGGGTGCAGAGGAGGTTCTGCCAACTGGAAGGCTGGTGTTCCACACAGCAGCAGCAGAACTCACCCCTGTACTCCCACCTCTAAGACACTTGCCAGGATTTTCTTCGGGACATTTATGAAACATGAACTCATGCTGGCTTCCAGCTAGGACCCTTGCCTGGAGTTAGGAGGGAAAAACCCTGAGCCACAGGGCCAACTGCCCCCAGCTCTCATGGGAGAATTCCACTGATCAAGGCCAGCACTGAGCCCTTTATCTGCAGGAGACAGGCTGGGGGCTGGTGATTATAATAATTTGGCACTTTATCTCTGCTCAGCATTGTCCAGTGCTGGAAGGGCCCAAAACTCTCTTGAAAAGTCTGGCCGGCCCCTTGGGGTGTTCTCTTCCCTGCTATTGAAAGGGAGGCACACCCAAGATGAAATCTCACTGCCTGGGGTGCACTCCCAGTTTGTGTCAGCAGTGCAAGGTGAGGCCATGAAACCTCCATTCACACACTCAATGGGCTGGGGCGGTAATGTGATCCTGCATCAACTCCACTGAACTCAGAGAGGCCTCTGACAGCTGCCACTCCTGCCTGAGCAGGTGTACAGAAGGGATGGAGGCAAGAGAAACCTATGGGGTACTGCACCTCTGTGTCCTCACAACACCTATGCTTTGTTAGAGGAGATGACAAGCACAGAAGATGGGAAACGTGTCCTTTCAGCTATCTCCATCTTGGCAGATGGCCCAGGCCACAGGGAATTCCTTGTCATTTTCCCCACCAGGCAGAAAGCTACTTGTGGGGAGGCCAGGGTCCCATTCACTCTGCCCTGTGCTCAGCACCTGGCACTAGATTCACAGTTACTGTTTCTAAAACAAGTCCCTGAAGTAGCTGGGTAACACATGCTGTCACATAGGAAAGGGTTCTCCTGAACTGAGGAGACTGGGCTGCAAAAAGATGAGGCATGTGGGGGAGAGAGGCGGAGCAGGGCCCAAACATGCCACTGAGTCACCACCTGGTCCCCTGGCTGGCAGGGCCTCAGCCCTGACCGACAGGGCCTGTGGAAGAGAAGAGTTAGTGGGAGGTACTGGGACAGGGAGAGAAGACTTCCAAAAGGGCCACTCTGTAAACCAGAGTCTGGAGATGTGCTCAGTACCTCCCGGATGCCCTGGGCCTTGCTGGTAGGAAGCAGGATGCTGGGTCTCGCAGTCTCAGTCAGACCATCCTGGGCAAACTGAGCTTGTGGCTACATGTCTCCCTCCCCAAGGCCACAGCCTGCACAGGGGAAGACTCACCTATACTCCCTTTTCCTAAGGTGCATGATGGGGAGTGAGTTCCCCAGCAGGGGCTGAAGTGCCTTTTAACTGTGTGAACTAGAGAGCTCTGTTCACAACAGGTTGTACAGTCCTCAAGAGCCGACAAGGTGGGTGCCGGCACAATGGCCATTCTGCTGAGGAAGAAAGTGAGGCCCAGGAAAGTTAGCAACTCAGCATGATTAGATTATAGGAGCCCCAACGCTGCCATCACAGGCCCTCGATGGTCTGCCTTATTGCAGCTCACACAGTAGAAACACCAGGGAAGCACAATGGAGGAGCAGCCTGGACATCCAGGCCACCATCCTCATGCCCGGCTCCTGGTCTGCTCTGCTGGAACTGCAATCTGGGGTGGGGTGGGTGTGCACAGAGCTCCTCCTCTTTCTCAGCATGCTAAGGAAGGTAGCTCAGCTCTACACCGTCCCAGTGTTCAGAGCAGCCAGCAGGTTTCTAGGCCTTGTGCAGGGGGGATGGGGGTTGTGATGCTCCGAACCATCAAGGAGGCATACAATTAATTACATGGAAACAGGTGTCACATTTTAGGGAAAGCAAGGCCCAGCAATCTTCTCCCTTCACTTCCTCTGCCTGGAAGAAAATGGTGGCCATAATATCAGAGAAGACTTGTGAAGGAAGCAAAAGATCTTCTCCCCATCTGAGCCAATTCTGCCTCCCAAGGTACCTTAGGGAGAGTGTCAGTTTATTGGGCCTCAGTTTCCCCTACAAGAACGAGTACCTGCCTGACCCTGAAGCTGCGAACAAGGAGCCCAACACAGCTGTGCCCGCCAGCACAGTGCCCAACACAGACCCAGTGCCCTCCACACCTGTGGTCTCATCTACAAGAAGAACCTCAAAAGAAGGAAAACAGGGGAGGGAGGAGTTGGGCAGGTGGGGAAAAACAAAGGAGGAGGTAACAATGCTCGACAGGAAATGTACTCATTACCTTACTCATGTAATTGTAACCTCTCTGTGCAGTATCTTCACAATAAAAAAAAATTTTTTTTAAAGAAGGAAAAGAAGCCACTGGACACACAGTGAAAGGGCAAAGAAAAGAAGGCAAGGATGATGTCACAAGCCCCACAAAGACTGAATCTGAAAACCCAATTGTCTAAAAGCCTGTCTCTGACTCTTTGCAGATGTCAAAACCCATGTGGCAGGACATCCTAAAGAGACTTAGACAGCTGAAGGAGACCCTGTACCGTATCATGACTACCAAGAAATCCACATCAGCAGCACGCTTATTACTGCCCCAAAAGAAAGAGCAATTGTCCCAAGTACAGAAACGGGATGCAGGCACCTTTCTAGGAGGCATATCAGCAATACGAACCAAGACCCTTAATACGGTCGAGGGCCTCTGACCTCTCTGTTCCCCTCCTGGGAACAATCTGAAGCAACAGTCCAAGAGACAAAGACTCAGACACTGAAAATTACTGTTAACTATAACAACAAATTCAACAATCAACCCAATGACGACAAAAGTTCCACCCTTCAAGACATTTTGATAAGCTGCACAAGTTGGTACTACAGACGATTAGCATGCATGGGGAATGAATCACTGTCATGCTGTGGGAACTACCAAGTGAAAAAGCCAACAAATGCAGTTTATATAATCATATGTTCAATGCAAAAAACAAATATACACGGGATTTTCAGCGGTAGGTGTCACTGGGAATTGAAGCTATAAGAGACTTTTTAAAATTTCCTATACTTACGGTGCACATTCTGAATTAAAAAATCATCACGAAACATTTTAATAATCAGACAGAAGGCTCAAGGTTAAGAGCAGGACATGGCATTTTTCTGTCCTTTCATTCACCTGTCCCACCAGCCCCCTGGTCCACTTGGGAACTGCTGGGGACCAAAACAGAACACACGTAAGAGTCGGGTGCTCTTCTGAAACCTGGGTGCAGACAGGTTTGCTCCGGGCTTCTCACCTGGCTGGAAGGACTAGAGGAGAACGACCCACGCAGCACGGCTACTCACCCATAATTCCACAAGAGAAAAGGGTAGGTCCTTGACTCATCTTCTTTGGCGTGTGCTGAAAACAACCAGAAAAGCTATTCACTCTTCAAGTCATCAGAAGCACGTTTGCACATGACTCTGCACTCATCTCTTGTTAAAGTCACAATTAAGGAGGAATTGCCCTTTGCCAGTGTGGGTTGGGGAAGGGAGAAGAAAATATCCCAAGAGACACTATCTGTGCAGGATCAGGCCTGGATTCTTTTTTTCAAGTCTCCAGAGAGTTATGGACCTGTTAGATGAAAGGGGTTGAAGAACACACAGAAAGCCTGTGGCTTCTGCCATGAGAGGCTTTCTCCACTCAGGTGGGGGGGGTGAGCACAGGAGATGGTGCTGGGAACAGTTGGACAAACTGGGGAGAGGCTGAGCAGCGAAGGGCAGGGGGTCCTCTCCCACTGCCAATCCCTGGCTGGGAGATGCAGGACAGCACTTTTCCATCTGGAAGCACTGGCCTGGCCTCCACAGCTGCTCCACTCATCCCCTCTGAACTGAAGCAAAAGTTCACTGGTTCCACTGAGTCTCAATCTGAGAGCTATGGCTTCCGGTCTGAGCGCCATACTGCCACACAGCTTCCCTTTCCACTGTCAGCATTCTCCATCTTCCCTTCAGCCCACCTGAGCCTCATCTGAACACCATGGCCACTGCCTGAAAACCAGGCCAAGCAAGCCTACAAGAGCCCAGGACCTAGGCACTTGCCCCATGGCTACAGAGCAAGCTGGGTGTGGAATATTCTGGGGGTTCCTTGTGCAAGCTGGTATCCAGGTCAAGGGGCCTGTTCTGCCAGCTTGTGAGGAGGGAGGCACTCAGGAACCCAGGAAGGTCTGCCTCAAGCATTCCAGAGACCACCTGCTCAGTCTCTCATTTAGCATCCTCCTGCTTGGTAAATAGGAATGGCAGCTGTTCATAGGTAGGCCGTATTAAGGCTGAGCATGAGACGGTAAGCGATCTCAACCCCAGACAAAGCAGCCTACCACACAAGACTGCGGCTTGAAAAGCACTCCCGCCCTACCCCATGACAGGAACAGGCCAGTCTTCAGGGCTGAGAAGTGGGTAGGAGCCCAGGCCCTGGCTCTTTTAAGTCCTGGAAGGTGGGTGGGACTGACTAGGAACACCTGGCCCGCCCAGATAAGAGGGTGGCAAGCGCCTGGCACCAGCTCCCTCACCCCATCCCTGTCTGCCCCATCTGAGAACCTTTGTACTTGGTCGGCAGTGCATTTATCCGATGGGGCTATTAAGGGTCCGTTTTGACCAGCATGGAGACACAGAGGTGACGGAGGACCTCCACTTTGTGGAGATCATAGTCACACAGACAAATCATTACACAGGGAGAATAGGGCTGAAAAACAATGTGCTGAGTAGGAATGCAAGTCAGGGCTATCTTTCTGGGAATACCCAATGGACCAGAAGGCACTGGGCATCTCCTTGGTTTAAAACAATCCTTATACTATCCAACAGCTTAGTCTCTTAGATTCCAAGCAGCCACCCATGGGAATATCTAGGAAGAGTAAAAGACAGCAGCAACTGCCTTCCTTCCAGCCAGTATGGTTAACACTGCAAGATGCACAGTTGAAAACCACACCGCAGTCACCCAATAGAGAGCAGGTGACAAATACACAGGAGCTTGCCAATGGGACCATGTCACCCACACAGCCAACTGCACAGCCTGAGAAACCAGGCAGGCCCCTTTTTCTAGGGGAAGTGTTCAGAGGGAGAAACGGGGCTTGTCCTCTGCCAGGTGCCTGGCCTGCCATAGGAGACAAGCTCCTGGTATTCAAGATAGTACATACAGGTAAAGTTCAACCCCCTCACCCTGTGTGGGCCAGATAGGGAAGGCACTGGGCTGTGTCCTCTCTGAAGTCCACACCAGGGCCAGCAAGCAGAAATCAGGACAGCTGGTGTAACCTGTGCTCCACTTGCAAGCAGGAGCCACAGAAGAGGGTTTGGGCTTTACACACAAAAGCAGGAAGCAGAGTCACCTTCTGCCCATCAGCGGGGTTCCCTTTATGTTCCACTCACCACATGACCGAGGCTGTGGGCCAGGGGTTCAGAGCCAATCCACCAAAGAAAGCCTTCGGCCTGCTCTGAGCACCTGCTTTCCAGGACCTCCCAGGCTCTAGCCCTTCCTGGGCATGATCAACCCATTCTTTTCTGGGCCCAAAGCTCTCTGCGAGTTGGCCAGAGGTAGTCCTTGTTGCTTACAACGAGGAATGTTGGACAGTTTCATGCCAGAACTCAAGGTGAGATTGAGGCCCTCTCTTGCTTTCTGAGCCATCTGTGCAGTGAAGCTGACTATGACCAGGCCAGAACATCTTGTTTACAACGTTTTCCCAGAGTATGAGGTCCAAGCTTCTCCTGACCATTGGCAGGGTTTTCCCAGAACCCACTTCACAAGAACAAAGTAGCACCCAGGACCTCCTGCTGACTCCAAGCTGACAGAATCTTTCTAGTCCCAGTCTACCAAGAACGAGATAACATTCCCATCAGTGTGTCCCATTCCTGCAGCTGTCTTTCCATTTCTAATTCTTCTGACCCTCCACCACAGCAGGGCCCCCACACACCAAGGACAGCAGCGCCCTGGTGGAACTTTCAGCCCTGAAGCTGCCCAAGACATCGAGACTGCAGACACACACACTGTGTGCCTATATTGATAATTGCATATGATCCACAAATGTTATAAACACTCAAGTGGCCCATAGCAGAACAAAGGGTTCTCCACCTTTTGGGGGCAACAGGCACCCATGCCTGAGAAGCAGTAAGATGTCAATTGAGAAAGGAAGGAGACCCAGACCCAAGCAGGAAACAGCACCCTTGGGGGCAGCGGTGAAGGATGCTGGTGGATCTGGCAGCCCTGGCTTCGGGGTACCTCCGCCTGAGGAGCCCTGGGATGTCTTCCTATCCAGTGTAAAACACATCAGCACTCCTTGGACTCTGTATAGTTCTAACTCCAGCCAGCCTGTGGCCTTCCAGGGATGGAGCTGTGAAACAGACCTGCCAACTCAGCCCGTGCAGGCATGTGAAGTGGCTGGGCACAAGGCCTCACATAGCCACGACTCTTCAGAGTGGACAAGCACCTTCACCCTGGCATACCAATCTGACAAGTGCAGGAGGAAGAGCCTCCTCTACCTATCTGATCAGCCTTTGTGGAAACAACTGGGGGTTGCTGGGGCAAGTCAGACAGCCAGGAGCCACGCACCACCCTCTGCCTGGGAGCAACCTGTTGTCAGCCCCCTCTGATCCAGAGAGGACTGACAGAAGGCCAGGCCTGGCCAAGAGGGGTGGTCACTCTGGAAACGAGAGAATGGGCCACTGGCTTATGCGTGGGCGCATGGGAAGAAGCTGGGGGAGCGCAGGGCTCCAGGGTCAAATGTCTGGGCTGCCTTCCAGAAGCAGCAGCTAATGTTAGAACATGAAAAGGAAGAGCTCGCTCGGCAGAGGAAAGCAACCAGGCAGAGTGGGGAAGGGAAGCTCACACCATCATGGCTGCCATGTGAACAAGCTAGCCAGAGCTACAGACACAGCCTGTACCCTCTAGCCATTGCTCCCAAGCAGACAGGCCTCTACGCCTAGAGAATGGATGCCTGTCAATTCTTTTACTTTTTCCTACCCCTTCCTTGAGAGTAGGTAGGGTCAGTTATGTTGTCAGCAGCATTTAGTTTCTTAAAAAGGAGAATAAAGGAGCCATTGCAGGCACTCCTGGGACAGAGGCCATCTCGAGTCTCACAGGCCCTAGTGCAGCAGCTTTGGGCTCTCCTCGTCCAGCAGGCCCACATACCAGGAGATCTTCTCTCCTAGGAGTAGGAGTGGCCAGGGGTGAGGGAGGCCTTAGTCCTAGGGAATCCCAAAGTGACCTGACTTACGCCATTCTTGGCCTCTCCAGAATTATATTGCTAATTACATCCTAATCGCAACCCTCACTTCTGCTTTCTTCTTGATCTGACTAGAAGTAAGAGAAACTGCTTTCTGTCTTTCCTGTTGTCAATGTGAAGCCAATGTTACCAGGGTGCGCCATGACTGACCCCAACAGCATTCTCTGCTGCTGCTCAGCATCGGGCAGCCTTACGCCCCAGGTTCTGCCTCACAGAGATCCTCCCAGGACTGTGATCTGAGGCCTTTCTTGGGTCATTCACAGAACTCTCCCTGAGTAAGGAGGAGCACTGAGATGGCCAAGCCTCCAGAGCTGGGGCTGGGCCTGGTGGGAAGGTGCTGGGTGGAGCAGTCCGCTAGACCTCCAGTCTGTACTCTGTGTGCCCCGCCTGAGCTCTTGGAGCCGCAGTCTCCTGTCTGGCTGAGGGAAAGAGATGGTTGTTGGGATAGGGGGAGGCCCTGAACTCAGAACCCTCCCATGATACTCCCACACTGGGTTTCCATTTGCCCCATGCAAGCAGTGCTAGGTCCGGCCCAGAATGCAGCTGGTAGTCCCTGTGTGGCTTGTCAACAGTCCACAGACAAGAAGGTCCACTCCAAAGGGGCCGGCCCAGCCGACCTGCCATCTGGAGTCAGGGAAGGAGGAGACAGATGGCCCACCCACCATACCAGGTGGTTTTGGGTCCCGATTGGCCAACGACAAAAGGCAGAAAGGAGGACACTCTTCCACAAGGGGAGGGAGTGTAGGAGAGAGCAGAGAGCCTGGCCTTACAGGGGAGATTACAGGCAGCAGATTCCCTCCCAGGAGCCCAAGCTCTCCCAGCTTCTGCTTCTCCTCTTTCCTAAGAAGACAAGGCTTCTCTCCCTGGCTAGGGCTGAGGTCATGCTCCCCCTGGCAGGAACTCAGACCATGTCTCTGCAAGAGCAGCTCAGCTGACCTCAGGCCCCTGTGCCTGGGAAGCAGCCAGTCTCACCCTGTGCGGGAGAGCACAGCAGCCCCACAGTGCTGAGCCAGCTGAGCACAGCTGGTCCCAGGCAGGGCGCCTCCCTCCGGCACTCTACTGGTCCCTCGCCCTGAGGTTACTCCTGGCTAGAGCTACTCCACATGTGTTCTTCCTATTTCCCCAGGAAAAGAAAGTCACCAGCCACACACACACACACACACACACACACACACACACACACACACACACACACACACACACACACACACACACACACACACACACACACACACACACACACACACACACACACACACACACACACACACACACACCCCACCCAGAGAGATTCAACTCATGTCTGCCCACCTCCCAGCTGTGAACTGAGTGGCAGTCAGGGAGGTACCTACACAATGACATACTCAGAAGCCACTGGACGGTGGCACCTGTGTACTCAGTGACGCTACAGATCTTACTGAGCACCTATGAGGCACTAGGCCCAGGTTCCAGGCTTTTGGCAACAAGTGAAAGCAAATGCTGTGCTTTCACGAAACTCCCAGCCTAGCGTGGGGGAGTCATTCAATTCTCAAGACCAACAGGTCAACTGGTAAATCAGTGTTAAGAGCCTATGAGAGAGAAGAGATGAAAGAGAAAGAAGGTATATATGGAGGAGGTAGAGGGTGAGGCAGTGGGTGGAGGGAACAAGATTCAATTTTGGACCAGAGAGGGAAGAAAAAAAAAAAGGAAGGAAGAAGACAGTTCTGTTAAGGGGAGAGTGTGCTGGGCTGTAGAAGAAATGCAAAAGCCCTGCAGCAGTGTGCTTGAACAGAGGGAGCAGGAAGAACAGCAAGAGGCCATGGTAGACAAGGTACATGAGTCTCGGTGCTTCCTAGCGATGGCTTTCATGTTTATTTGGCACAAGGTAAGAAGCTAGTGGAAGGAGGGGTGGGAAGGTGGCTCAGTGGTGGTAGAGTGCTTGCCTTGCATGCATGAGGCCCTGAGTTCGATTCCTCAGCACCACATCAGCAGAAAAAGCTGGAAGTGGCGCTGTGGCTCAAGTGGTAGAGTGCTAGCCTTGAGCTGAAGAACTGAAGCACAGCATCCAGGCCCAGAGTTCAGCCCCCACAACCCACCAAAAAAAAGAAGTAGTAGTGGAAGGTTCTGAGCAAGTAGACAGATCTCGCTGTATTCCCCTCTGGCTTCTGGGGGAAGCAAAAGCAGGGAACCCATTGCCATTTCTATGTGAAAGCCAGCAGGATGGAGGCAGTGGAGGTGGTGAGAAGAGACCACATTGCAGATAAACACTGCACACAAAATGGAAAGGAAGTAGCGGTGGCAGAAGACCTGGCTGGCCACGTCAGCTCCCCTTGTTAATGACCAAAGTTGCCATCAATCAGACACCTTGGTGCCTGCTCTCTACTGGGCACCTGCTCTCCACTCGGCCCCTGTAATGCTCAGATACATACAGGGAGGAGCCACAGAGACCAGGGTCCAGATTCCAACCTGGAAGAAGAGGCCTGTACACAAGCCAGGAGGTAGGGTTGCTGGGCAAGGAGGGACCAGAGGGAGTGCCCTGTTGTGGTCTCCAATACACTTTTGTAAAGTGAGGAGCATGCACGAATGGTTTCTGAGCCACTTTTATGCATCTGAGACCACATCTAGTGCCCTGTTCTGTGAGCTCTGCCCTGACATGCTCCAGCCCAGCCAGCCTTCTCAGATGCAATGGATTTTACTGGGCTTCGGCTGTGACTTAGTGCTAATGGGGTCTTGAAGGGTCACTAAATGCAAATCATTCCAGGCAGAGAAAGGCAAAGCCAGCTCGGAGTCATGCTGGTTCCTGAACTCCTCCAGCCCTCTCCCAGCAGGCCTAGGTACTAGGTGCAGGTGTGTGGAATGTAAAGGCCTTGGTAGCTTTCCCAAGCTCTTACAAGGGTCAGACCTCAGCAGTCTATCAGTGTGGTCCTCACTAACACGAGACCCTGGAGGGGCCGCGTGTGGCTTCTCCTAAGTGGCCACGAAGAGTGCCTTGTGAGGCTGGATAACAGACCCTGGGCTAGCCCAGTGATAACCAGGGAAGATGCAGACTCCTGCAGGTAAGCCCATCTGGCAGGTCCTAAGAGTGTGGCCAAGGCAACCGCTGCTCCCTGCAGGGGAAGCTCACTTTGGATAGCTGGGGTTGGGAAGAGGGCTGGGTTGGAGGTGGTTTTGCTCATGGTATTAAACATAGCTGCCTCCCTGCCCCATCCTCACCACGACTTGATCGGAGGGTGGCCCCAGGGTAGCGGCCACCATGGCCCACCACCTGCCAGCAGGCTGCGCCTTCTTTCTCCCTCATCTCTCACTCTTCACATTCTAACTACCGCAACTCTCGCCTCTCTCTGCACTTCTCTTTGGAGGCTATCTTTGCTATCCTGGCCCTCACTCCAGCCTTACCCACTTGTGGAAACTGCCGCCCCTTGCTGGGTGGAGGCAAAAGGAATGTGGAGCAGAGCCCAGCAGGGCAGCTGAAGCACACTTGGCATTATCTAGCACGCAGCCGCCTTTCTCCCCGGCTCTCCTCTTGTGAGTAAATGTCCAGGGCTCATGCTCCCATGCACCATGACCCAGATTGGATCATCTCCCAGAGCTCCACTCTTGGGCACTCTGATCTCAAGGTGGATGCCCTGTCCACAGCCCACCTGTACACCAGGCCTCGAAGAAGGTCAAAGGGATGAAAGCTGCTAGGGGCTCACCAGTTCAGGGCTGAAGGTCCTACATGCTATGGAGTCGGCTCCCTGGTTGGCGAGGCTTCTCCTTAGGATCATCACCATGGTAAGGACCTCAGGCACTGGGCTGCATCCCAGGGTAGGCACGAGCCATCTTCAGGAGGGCAGCCCTGGGCCGTGGTGACACCTGGGCACCCCCAGGGAATGTTGTCAGTAGAAACAGCTCCCCATCAGTCACTCACTCTCAGGATGAGGCTCTTCTGGGAAATGGCCAAGTGTGGTCAACTACCTGGTAAGACAAAAGACAGGCAACAAGTTCAGGACCAGGGAAGAAGAGAGTGGAACCAGGGACCCACTGGGAACTAAAGGAGGTACATTCTGGGAGGCCACCGAGGCTCAGATAACCCTCTAAGAGCAACCCCTCCCCCCCAGCCTTGGAGCACCCCAAAGCCAACGGGTACAACAGTACACAGGGGTCCGCTCATGTGACCCCCGAAAGGTCCTGAGTTTGGGTAGCTAGCAATCTAGCATGCTCAAGATGTATGACATCTTACCACCAACCTAACTTTCAGTGTACTTTGAACACACACCGGGACAAGTTCACATAGGCTGAGGGTAAAAACACACCTCACCCCATCCCATGTCCAAACCCAAACGGTCAGCCCTCCATAGCCACTGGCAGCTGACAGGGGCCCAGTCAGGACACGCGCAGGTTCTCCTTCTCCACATAGGAACAAAAGTGAGTGGAGGCCCGAAAGGCAAATAAAGTTTTCTACCATCCTTACATCCTTAGCTCATGTAATAAAGGTGTTTATTGTTTTATTAAAAAAAAAAAAAGTGACTGGAAGCTGGGCACCAGAGGCTCCACCTGTAAATGCTAGTCATTCACAAGGTGACCAGGACAGAGGTCTGTGAGGCTTACTCTCTATTGTAATCAGCAGAAAGCTGGGCTGGAGGCATGGCTCAAGTGATAAAGCAAATAGACCAAGCAAGCACAGGCTGAGTTCACTCCTCAGTAATGGGAAGCAGAGGGGAAGAGGCAACGGAAGAATCAGAGATGTCTACCTAGAGGCCGTGCCACATTTGACATCAACCTATTTTCAACACTGGAGGTCTCTTCCCCAGTAACCTTCCAGCAGTGACTGGACCCTCAGCATTGCTGTTGTGCACAGCTGCTCAACAGTCCGCCTGACCAACCACCATTTCCCACTAAGCAGAGGCAAAAAAGGGAGCAGGCTTCAGCAGAGGTTTAAAAGATCATGCCTTATAATTACTCCGATACTCCATCCCTCTTCTCCCCACCCTTCTGTGGTTAAACCTCCAAATGCACATAATACAAGAGATCCAAAGAGCACCATCAGAAAACAAAAATTATACCAGTAATGGCAATAAACAAATAGAAAGGTAGCCCCTAATCTGAAATTAAAAACAAACAGTTCAGCGTTGGAAAATGCTTTAGAATCTTCTGTTCTGTGTAAAAATTAATTACACCCTGGTATTTACTTGCCATCCAGATTGTAAATCATATTTTCCTGTTTACTTCGATTAGACTTTACAGTGGGTGTTATTGAAATTGCTCAATTACAGGCCAGCTGGCAAGCACAAGAAAATTACCTTCTACTGTTCTTCGAAAACAAGGTTCACCCAAAGTGCAAACTCAGGGAAGGGGAGGAGGGAAATCAATCCATTTCCAAAACCTGACTGTTGGGGAAGGGAGGCACAGGGGGGCCAGAGTCCCCAGTAACACCAAGACACCGACACCTGACAGGTCTTAACAGCTCATCAACCTACAACCGGCACGTGCTAACTAAGTGTGGTCAACTCAGTCCACTCTTCCAGGGACTGGACAAGTCGCAGGCCCTGGTCAGGGGCAGGCCAGGAGGGGAGCTTGGACTCAGCCCTCAAAAGGGCCCTTCCTTTGTGCCATCTTAGCAAGGGAGGCATAGAAACCATGGTCTTTCTGGGTGTAAGCCTCAACTCAGTTCTAGGGCAGCCAGCCACTGGCACCATGTCTGAGAAGTAACGCCTCCTCCCCTCCCTTCTCTAAGGAGGCAGACAGGTTCCGTAGTTTCAAGCTCAGAGCTACAGTCAAGCACACCTGAGTTCCTCTTGAAATACACTGTCCCCTCAAACGTTGCCAAGTGCTTTATCTCTGTGCCTCAGCTCCTCTCAGTAAATAGAGACGATACTGCCTGCCTCATCAGGTTGTAGTAGCCTAGGAAGCAGAAACCACACCTTCTGCTTGGTGCCTCTCCTCTGAGAAGTGCTGTCAACAGTGGCTACTGCTGTTGGGGGGGGGCGAGGGGGAGCCCAGATCCTTTCCTCAGCAATGGACACCCAGTCAGTCTTCCTCTCCAATTTGTTTAAATTCCATCAAAAAGGTCTGGCTGTATGATGGCCCTTCCCTCTGGTGAAACAGTAGGAGGCCGGTAAGAGTGATGCTGTGGAAGTCTGTTGCCATGGAAACACATCAGCCCCTCCAGTCACAGCGCTGCACAAAGCCGGAAGCCGGGCTGAAGGAGTGATGGGGCCTCCAGGCTCACGCCAGCTCCATCTCCACAGCAGCCTCTGCAAAAGGCTGCCGAAGCGGCATGAGGGGTAACAGACACGCACAACAGCACCCCGAGCTCCTGGGTACCTGGAAGCCAGCGGTGATCACGGGCCCCAGAGGAAGGGGGAGGTGTGGCACCCAGCAGTCGTGCTCTCTCGGGGAACTGGCAAGAAGGCTGTGAAGTAGGCACTACTCACACTGAGGGCAGAGGAAGGGGGTGCTGGAGGCACGGGGCCCAAGGCGTATGGCACCGCCGCTAGAGCGGGGACAACCTGGGTGGTTAAACGACAGTGTAGCTGTGCGAGGGAACTGCGTGTGGACTTTTTAAAAAATCCCAACTTGACAGCGGGGAACAGCATTCACTGGGAGGCGGCTGCACGGAGGACGTGGGGGCAACAGAACAGACACTGGAGTTCTGAGGCCGCTTCAATCAACTTTTTCTGCACCTTTACACCACCAAGCACAGTGCCTTGCACAGAAGAAGCACCCAATACACAAGTCTGGAACTGGGTAAATCACAGCCACATCTGAATCCTCACATTCTCAGACCAGCAGAGCCTGGATTTCCCTGGGATCCACGGCAGAGGTCTGGACCAGCTTCACTGAGGAGTGCAGGTACCCACCCAGCGACACAGATAAATCTAATAACCAGGCCAGCATCTTCTCAGAGAAGAACTAGGTGTGGTCCTGAAAGGGCCAGTAACTGGGGGGAAACCCAAAGGACACTGGTTGGGTACGGACCCTGCCTTGCCTACTGGGTTCTCTCTGCGCCTACACGAAAAGGATGGCTTCTATCACTGAGCACTGCTGTGGTTTGGGTGTGGCTTGTCTCCCAAGGGTTCCGGTGTGGGAAGCCTGGTCCCCAGTGCGGGCTGTTCACAGGTGGTAGGGCCCTGAGAGTGTGGGGTTAGGTGGGGGGAATGAGACCTCACAGGATACTGCTCTCCGTCTCACAAGCCTGGCCAACACACCCAACCACTCCAGCCTTCTGTCCCACCATGTGCTCATCTGCTGTGTGGCCTTCTCCAGAGCTTGCCTGTTGCTGCCACCATGTCCTCAAAGTCCAGAACCAGAAGCTAAATAAACCTCTCTTCTTTATAAAATCACCCAGCCTGTTGTTCTGTTATAGTAGTAGAAAATCAACTAAGCAGCTAAGGCAGGTCTGACAGTTCTCATTTTATAGCCATATGCACAGCAATTCACCAGAGTCTAGGATCTTCAACCCTGGTGAGACAGGCCCCAGGCCTGTGCTTCCCATCAGTGCCCACTTCTCCATCCCAAATGCACCCTCAAACACCCACTCGGACAACTACCACGTGGTCCAGCCTTCACATTCCTGAGCATTTATCCCAGAGAAATGAACACGTACATAGGTTCACACAAAAGACCTTCACACAATTGCTTTATCTGTAACAACCCAAACCAGGAAAACCCAGATGTTCTTCACTGAGTGAATGGTTAAATGCACCCTGGCTCCTGTTCTAAAGAACACTGCTCAGCCATAAAAGGAATGAACTCTAATATACACCAGGACTCGGGGGAAAACACTCTCCAAACAATTCTGCTGAGTAGAAAAGAAACCAACTCAAAGGCGAACGGTTGTACGATTCTGTGTGCATTGTATTCTTGAAATGACAGAGTAACAGAATCGGAAAACAGAGGTTGTTCTGGTTTGGGATGGGGTGTGGTTAGAATGGTCTGAAGCTTGACTGTTCCCCTGTTTGTTCATTTCCTGCTTCTGATGTCGTCACTACAGTTGTAAAACATAATACCCCAGATTTCTCTGTACTATTTCTCATAGCTACATGAATGTAAAGTGGTCTCAACGTTAAAAAAAAATTAAATAAACCCCATTTGATGTGTGCATTTGTCAAAACCCATAGAACTAAATAACCAAAAGAGTAAATGGCACTGGAGACAAAAGAAAACGTAACAAAACAAAAAATCAAATTCCCGCCACCTGCACTGGGAAGACAGCATGGAAAAGGAGCAGAAGCTATGGGGTTTGGCAGCCATGGCCTTCACTGAAGTTATCTGCTTTGGTGTCCTCATCTGTCAAGTAGGAACAGTAACATTTTTGCCCTGGGCACTGTGATTGTAATGTAAGAAAATGAAAGAGTTGGGGCTGGGAAGGTGGCTCGGTGGTAGAGTGCTTGCCTTGCATGCATGAGGCCCTGGGTTTGATTCCTCAGCATCACAAAAGCAGAAAAAACCAGAAGTGGCACTGTAGCTCAAATGGTAGAACGCTAATCTTGAGCTGAAGAGCTGAGGAACAGCACCCAGGCCCACCACCGACAAAGGGGGGGGGGGGGGGGGCGGGGAGGAGAGAGAAGAGAAAGGAAGAGAAAGAAAGAGAGAAAGGAAGAGAAAGAAAGAAAGAAAGAAAGAAAGAAAGAAAGAAAGAAAGAAAGAAAGAAAGAAAGAAAGAAAGAAAGAAAGAAAGAAAGAAAGAAAGAAAGAAAGAAAGAAAGAAAGTTTGCCACAGGGAAGCCAGGGAAGGACACAGATGTTGGTGGCTTCCAGTCCCCTCTGCATGAAGTACAATTGTGGGCAGCAAGCCTTGCCTTTGGACATGGTCCCAGCATCGCCAGTGCAGTTCCTTACTCTGGACTCAAATCCTCCATTGGCAATGCTCAGCGCTCACCTCTGCTGTGACTCCCTGGGCAGTGTTGATAAAGGCCTCCACTAGGACTCCAGACACCACCTGGCACCACCTGGCTACCCAGCATCTGGGAAAG